AAATTTAATAAAAATTTAAAATGTAGAACCCATTTTATCACTCAGACAAAGAAGACAAGTTAAACAAGTCTATATTGACCCATTTTCGAAAACAGTTTTAGTTTATAATAATAATAATAATCTATATATAATTTGAAACTTAACAATTATAATTAATAAAAATTACTAAAGTTAATACAAATTTTAAAATTTAACAAGTTTTTATCTATCAACTATTAAAAGTTAAGAAATTAATAAAGATTAGTAGTTCATAAATTAAAAAAACTAAAATACAATTTAATTATATTTAAATATAATTAATATTAATAAGATAATTAAAATTAATAATAAAATGTAAACAATTATGAAAAATAATAAAAATAAACCATTTGCATTACATACAATGATATAAAACTTAGCCCAACATTTGGCTCAAGCAAATAATTAATAAATATGAGTATTGATAGGATAGTTAAAATGAATAATCAAAAGTAACAAATCCTTTATAACTTAGCCTAACCTGATTAGATCTATAAATTTCCATGATCAAGCAATTTTTTTTTTTTTTTTGAGTTAGGTCTACCTCAAAGATGCACCAAACCTACACATAATGTGGGTAGTAGGGCTGCAAATGGGTCAGATTCAAATTAAATCCAGCTACATCCACATTAATATCCGATTATGAAATTTCTAGATTTGCATCCACATCTAATTATTATGTTGGATTTTGAATTTTAAAATATAAATACATATATATTAATATCTCTGTGTATACAATAATTATACTATATATACAAAATAATAATTTTTTATTAGACGTGGATTTTAATCAAATTGGATGGGGTTAAATCCACATCCAATCAAATTATTTACTAGATGCAAGTTTTAACATCCAAATCTAAGGATAATTAGATTTGAAGTATAATTGAGTATCGAACTTTCGAAATCAAATGATGGCCCTAGATAGGGACCAAGCTAAACAACCCGTAATAAGCTCAACGTGGAAGTCATATGTGCATATGATAAATACTATTGTATAATAGTTAGATAACAAATTATATATATATATATATATATAGAGAGAGAGAGAGAGAGAGAGAGAGAGAGG